CCATGGGGGCCAAGGTTCTTCAAACCCTGGGTTTCTGGGAGTCTTTTATTCAAGTTCAGTTGCCAAAAATATCATCTGAGGGGCACCTGGGTGGCTCAGTTGGTTGGTTAGGCATCTGCCTTTGGCTCAGATCATGATCCCGGGGTCCTGGGATCAAGCCCTGTGTAGGGCTCCCTGCTCAGTGGGGAATCTGCTTCTCCCTTTGCCTCTGCCCATCCCTCCTCACCCCCTGTCCTGCACATGTTCTCTCTCTCTTAAATAAATACATAAATAAATACATAAAATCCATATATATATATATATATATAATCTGAGGAGGGGATTAGGAATCCTAGGACCAGCAGTGAACACTAATCTCTTTTGAGATCTGATGGCTGCTCAGCACCCCTGCCTCATCGCATCTCCCAGCTACACTGAAACACTTTCATTTGCTCTCATTTGCCCAAATTCTTCCCACTGCAGGGCTTTGGCAGGTCCCCACCATCGAAGACTTTTCTTCCCTCGCCGTCCCCTGCCCAGCTCCCTCATCCTCTCCAGGAAGGCCTTCCTGCCCCCTGGATGGAGTGAAAACCCCCATCCACAATCCTAATAAATTGCCACTAAGCATGTGTAGTGTTTTCAGCAGCCACTTCCCATACCATCTTGCAGGGTCCACGGGTACAATTGCCACCGTCTGCCTCACTCACTGGCATATCCCCAGGTATACTGCACGGTGGAGGTGCCCAGTCCCGATTTGGGCAACACTGTTTGATGCTGCCCATTCAAACGGGTCCAAGGCCTCGGCCAACGGGGGTAGAGCTGCCCCCACCTGCTCTGTTCCCAGGGCTCCTGGCAGGCTGGGACGCTCGCCTCTTATTTACCTGCATGGACCCTAGAGCGACTCAGCTCCATTGAGCAAAGCTGTCTCCTGCCAAAGCCGTTACAATTTCTTAGCTCCAGGCAGAGGCAGACCGCAGATGGCTTAATTTAGAAGCATCTCTGAAGGAATTCCTTGCTCCATAGCTCTTCATCCTTTGACTCCAGGGGTCCGTGGGGGTCGTGACCATACACGGCTTGAGGCCTGACTTGTAATTAGGATCCTTATTCCTGGTTGAGTTGCTATTTTAGGAGGGGAGAGCGTGCCTGTGGGATAGGAGCCACAATGTTCCCAGCAGTGACTCTCTTGACTCATTTCATGGGCGATTATTAAGAAAGAGTGGAGTCTCTCAATGAAGAGCTAGGCCAGTCCCACGGCTGTGGGTTCAATCTATGCAACCAGGGCGAGTGACTTAACCTTTCTGGGCCTCTATTTCCCCATCTGTAAAATGTAGACAACGTCTGGATGTTCTGGGGCTCGTGTGAAATCCGTGCGCTGTGCCGGGCAAACAGCAAGTTTGGTGCCACTGATGGGTGCAGTGGTGCAGAACAGGACAGATTCTGCAGACGGGCACCCTGCTTCTTGGCATCTGAGAGCCAGACCTCCCCTCTCCATGGACTCCTGGGTCCTACTGGGGGATTTGGGGATTTCAAGGGATCCAGTTTCCCTTCTCTTTCCAAAGACCCATTCCATGTCGAGGGCGAGCTTTTGCTTGAGTTAGGCCTTAGGAGAGCCCATTATACCCAGCAACACACATCTCCTTTGGTTTTCACCTTGGACACACACACCAAGCCCAGGACACACGCACCCCCTGCCACCCCTGCTGACACCATGTTCCCTACACCTCCCTTCCTACCTCCCTCATTCCAACCCCTCCAGGCCATATTCAAGGTCCACCTGGCCTGAGGAGCCTTCTCTGAACACCTGAGGCCGGATGAGCCCTGCCAACTGCCTTCATTCACTCACTGGTTCATTCACACACCCTTCCAGTTTTGTTTAAACATGGCCCCAGGCCAGGCACTGCAGGGTCCTGAACAGAAGAGGTGCACACCCTGCCTTACAGGGCCCCAGGGCTTGAGCTCCCTGTCTTGGATGACTTAACCAAGTCATCCATCCAAGTCATTTTAGATGAATGTTTGAATGAAAATACCTTTCCTACCAAAGTTTCCAAGTAAAGGGGGACTGCAAAAAAGAAAATTTCCAGATTTCTCTTTTGTGTGTGTGCTGATTTTCACCTGATTATTTCTAAACTGAGCGGCAACTCAGGGGCTGTATCTTTCTGCCACTTCCTCAGGGATGAGAGTGAGTACTGAGCCTCCTGCCACCAACACCAAATTAACACCACCTACCACTGACCATCAACACCACCCACCATCAACACTACCCATCATCAACACCATCTACCATCAATACTACCCACATCAACACCACCATCAACCAACACTATCCACCGTCAACACCAAATCAACACCATCCATCAACACTAACCACCATCAACACCACCATCCATCAACACTATCCACTGTGAACGCCAAATCAACACCAGCTACCACCATCCATCAACACCACCCACCATCAACACTATCCAATACCAACACCACCATCCATCAATACTATTCACCATCAACACCAAATCAACACCATCCACCAAATGCCATCAGTACCATCCGCCATTCCTGCATATTGAATGCCCAGGGAATAGCTTGAAGGTTGTATTCATTTCCTGAGGCTACCATAACAAATTACCACAAACTTGGTGGTTTAAACAATAGAAATGTATTCTCTGGCAGTTCTGGAGGCCAAAACTCCAAAATCAAGGTTTCAGCTGGGCTGCACGCCCACCAAAGGCCCTAGGGAAGAATGTTTCCTTGCTTCTTTCAGCTACTGCTGGCTCTTAGCATTTCTGAACTGTGGCCACATCACTCAGCCTATGGCTTCTACCTCTACCCTGTGTCTATGTCTTCTGTCTCAAGCATCCATGTCATTGGAGTCAGAGCCTTCTTGAATCATTCAGGATGTTTTCATCTTGAGATCCTTAAATTAATTACAACTGCAAAGACCCTTTTTACAGATAAGGTCACATCCATAGGTTCCAGTGGTTAGGATGTGGACATATCTTTTTTGGGGTCACCATTCACCCCACTACAAGGGCCAGGCGGGAGGCATAGAAATAGCAGAGATGTGGGCTGCTGAGCTATGCCACCAGGGAGCCTTGCCACACCCTCAGTGCTACAGGAGACCATGGACATGCAAGAGTCCCAGCCAGCTGGTCATCTGAATCAGCCAGGGTGCCCACAAGAGCTCTGGAGATCCAAACTGCCAGCCTTCCTGAGCATCTCTAGCTGCCTTCTGGGAAGCATGGGTGTCAGCTCTGCACCTGGTCTCAGTGGAGACATTACCCAGTTCTCTGCCATCAGGAAACCAGTTGGGCTATAAGCTTAGATGAAGGGTTATAACTTTCCCCAGGGGTGGGGAGCTCCCAGGCCTCTGTGTTCCCAGACGGGGGCCAGAGTATGGGGCCCCCAAGCACAAAGTCTCTTTACAAATCCCTCCCTGTCTTCTAGTGCCTTTTACTATTGAATCCTCCTCCTATCTTTCCCTTCCCCTGTTTTGACACCTAAAGGCTGCCTATAAAACATTTAAAAAAATAAATAAATAAAGGCTGCCTATAGCATTGGGGCTTAGTTACCGCCACCCAGAGGGCGGCCCTGGCCTGGATTCTTGACAAGAAGGGGGCCTGCTTTATCACCTTGAAGATGTAGCAGAGCCTTCAGCTGCTCCTGCAAACCCATAGGGAACCCCTGCCAGCCCCCCGCTGTGGACACCTCACCCCCTTGGAAACTGGAGCTCCAGTGGGCTCTGGGGCCAGCACACACCTGCACCCTTAGCCTGGGAAAGCCCTGCTCACCCTTCCAGCCTCCCCTTCACATCTCCTCCCCAGAGGGGCACCCCCAACTCCCGTGAGGGTTGAGCTCATGCTATCTGTGCTCTCTGCACACCCTCTACTCTCTGAGTTCTGGTGAAACAACTGCCTAATTATTGTTGATGTCTGCTCCTCCTCTGGATTAAAAGCTGCCCCCTGATGGGGCGCCTGGGTGGCTCAGTTGGTTAAGCACCTGCCTTTGCTTAGGTCATGATCTCGGGGCCCTGGGATCAAGGCAGGAGTCAGGCTCTCTGCTCAGTGGGGAGTCTGCTTCTCTCTCAGCCTCTGCCCTTCCTTCCCTGCTCTTCCTCTCACAGGTGCTCTCTCTCTCAAATAAATACATAAAAATCTTGCAAATAAGTAAATAATCAATTAATTAAATAAAAGCTCCCTGAGGGGACAGAAAATCCCCCATTTCCTGCTGTATCCCCAGTGCCTGGCACAGAGTTTTACTCAATAAATATGCATCACCTGAATGAATGAATGAATCAGTGAGTAAATAAACAAGCAAGCGCAAAACCTTTCCACTCTGGGCCTCCCATAGGTTGTCCTAGAGGAGATTTTCTTGCTCTTGGAGGTGATGGAACTGACCCATGAGGCAGGAGGGGTTTTCGCCTACCACCATTTCTTGAGAAGGAAGGGCAGCCTGAAATTCTGACTTCATACCCTTTCAACGGAAGAGACACTCATTGGATCTGTCCCTCATGTTTCTTCTGGAAGGGTGGCATTTCTAAACTCTGGTTCTGGTCCCGTCGCCTCCTTGGGCAGCTGCCACCTGGCAGGAGGGACTTGGAGCTTACTCCCAGGAAGGAGCACTGGCGGGGCCAGAAGTCCCCCTCCCCCCGGAGAGGGCAGCTTGTTTAGGGTTTTTAATGGTGGAAAACCAGCATGGGAAGAGTGATGCTGGCTATTAGGTCCCACTGCACAGTGACTCCAGTCATCGTCAGGTGATGTTTATCACTCGTGCATCTTCCCTAACAATGAGCTGGACAGAAGGAAAACTGCTGACGCCAAGTAGCCTTGGCCTCGCCGCCTTCGGCCCATTGTCATAACCCATTGCCCCTCCGTGCCAGGATGCTCACGGCACTGACTCTTCCCTTCCTTCCCCCATATGGTGATTTGTATTACTGCTCTAAGATCGAAATGGAGGGGCGGGCAAGGAGAGAAGGGAGCACTGGGAAGGCGCCTTGTGCCCACTGACCTGCTCCCCTCTATCCATAGGTGTGTCCGCATCTCGATACCTTCCCCACTGAGGCTGATCGCCAGAGAGCATTCAAAGCCCGCCAGGAGGAGCATGCGGTGCGCCAGGGGACCCTGCGGATGGGCAACTACACCCACCCCTAAAGCCTTCTCAACACAGTAGAAAATTCTCCAAGGACTCACTTTTCTTGCCCCAGCTCACGTTAGACACTCCCCTAATTTTATGCAGGTTTTGCTTTGGCAAGGACCTCAATTCGGGTCTTTGATTCTTTTTGGTACGAGTCCCCCCGCCCCGTCCCTTTTTAGATTAACCAATACTAACTTACCTTAGCCCCAGCAACCCTCTACGTAGGGATTCTCCCTCCTGCAGGAGGCCACCCACCCTTGGTTCTCAAGCCCTCACCTGGTAAGACAAACCCAAATCACTAGGCAGTGCTTAGACTCCAGGCTAAGGGTAGATTCCAAAGCTCTGCCCATGGAGTGTGAACAACCTGTGTGTTTCCTGCAGAAAGCATGACAGCAACGTGCTGTAAAAACCCTTGTTTTATATTCCAAACACCAGTTTAATTGTGAGTTGGGCATGACTGTTGTTTCACCATGCCGGAGGACCCCACGCTCGGGGCTCAGGGCCTACCCCCACCTCCTCCACTCACTCAGGCTGGCCAACATGGGCTTCTCCACCCAAACAGACCTTGGGAGGGTGACCCCACAGGAGAGAGCCTTCCGGGTGAGTGGGTCGGGGGATGATACACAGGCTGAGAACCTCACCGGCCAAACTCCTGGGTGCTCCCTACCTCAGTCGTTCTGCACGTTCTTGCCTTCTCCCCGCAAATTATATACTGGTCTATTTTGAATTAAAAATGCTATTTGTCCTCATCCTGCTGTGTCTTTATTTGAAAACCAATAAACCTACAGCCAGTGCAAGAACCAACCTCACACTCGTCAGACGGTGTCCTGATCCGGGCATTCTTTGAGGTAGATTACCTCTCCTGACACATCCCAACGGTGCCTGTAGGAAGTCAGGCGCAGCCTGGAGTTCTTAAATCCCAATTCTGGCCTGAAGATGCCAATTGCTGATCTTCGACCCAGAGCCCTCCCTGGGATTTCAGACTCACTCGTCCAACTGCCCGCCTGACGTCTCCACTCAAGCGTCTGGTATTCATTTCAAACCAACACGGTCAAGACAGAACACTTGATTTTTTTTTCCCCCACCAAACTTGTTTCTCCCTTGGTTGTTTTTTTTTTCCCATCTCATATGTGACACCACCATTAACCCTGTTGCTGAAGCAAAAATCTTCATTACTCTGTTCCCCTCCACTCTCACCTTGAATCCAGCGACGAGTCTGTCAGCACCACTTCCAAGACACCCCTACCCGTCTCCTGGTCTCCGAGCCCCACCAGGTCTCTGGAGACCTCACCCTCTCCACGCTACCCTCTCAACCACACTCTCCACAGGGCAGCCCCTTAGCATTCCAGAAGCTTCTGTTGCTCTGGAAGGAAAACTCCACACTCCCCACCCAGCCCATGGCATACTAGGTGAGGTGGCCGAAGGCTGTCCTGGCTTCATCTCCCATCTTTGGCGCCTTTCTGGTCCTGGCTACTTCCAGCCACTGTCCTCACTGCCGCCTTTGGCTTGCTGCTCACTTTTCCCTCTGCCTGGAACACCTGGGCCCCCGATTGTCGCCAGCCCACCCCTTCTTGTCATTTAGACCTTAGCTCAAAAATCAAGTCCCCTCAGCCCGGGTGGCTCAGCGGTTTAGCATCGCCTTCAGCCCAGGGTGTGATCCTGAAGACCCAGGATCGAGTCCCGCATCAGGCTCCCTGCCTGGAGCCTGCTTCTCCCTCTGCCTGTTTCTCTGCCTCTGTGTGTGTGTGTGTGTGTGTGTGTGTGTCGTGAATGAATAAATAAAATCTTTTAAAAAAAATCAAGTCCCCTCCTCAAAAGGCCGTCCCTGAAATAGCCACCAGTAAAATTCACATCAGCTTGTTTGATTATCTACAAAACAACGATGCCTTGTTTACTGCCTGTCTCTCCTGTGGCAGGGATGTCGCATGGGATCAGGGACCCGAGATCCCAAGGGCCTGGCATACATGGTAAAGGCTAGTGCTATCTGTGGAAGGACCTCCTGCATGAATGTCTGCTCCGGCTCCTGCCCCCCACAGGCCGAGTGCTGGGCAGGGAGACACACCACGTCTGGTGATTACAGGTCTGATTGAATTTCTTGATCAGCCTTCCCACCCCCGCCCCCACACGCACATGTCTCCCAATGCCATACAAATGCCACACACACTAACACCCCGCAGGAACCTAGCCCAGCCAGGACCTTGACAGACCCCAACCTACTCCAAGGGCCAGAAATCCTCCTGCCACCACACGAGCCAGGGGGAAACAAGCACCCCTACTGATTTTGGCTAAAGCCACCCTGAAGTCTTTTGACCCGCAGGGAGCAGTGGGCCTGGTGTGGGCACACAGGAGAGTCCCAAGGAGCCTGGCCACTGAGCTGCAGCCATTCCATGTGGTCAGGAGCGTGAAGCCCAGCATCATCAAGGGATTTCTGGTTGACTTTGAGCAAGCGTCTTAACCTCTCTACCTCATCTGTGAGTCAGGACCCTGGCATGGTATAGGACATTTCCTCAAGCTAAATTATTTTTTTTCCTCAAGCTAAATTAGATCATGATTACAGCAAAGAATGTGTACAACATGATTAGCACAGGGTCTGGCACTTCTAAGCAATAGATTAATGTGAATCATTGTCTTCTTATTAATAAAGCACACTAAAAAAAGGGCAACCAGAATCCTGTGACAAGGGCATGCTTTTAAAGGAACAATGCCTGGGTGGCTCAGTCGATTAAGCATCTTGCCTTTGGCTCAGGTCATGATCTCAGGGTCTCGGAATGAGACTTGCGTTGAGCCCTGCATCAGGCTCCCTGCTTAGTGGGGAGTCTGCCTCTCTCTCGCCTTTCGCCCTTCTCCTCAGCTCATTTTCTCTCTCTCTCTCTTAAATGAATAGAATCTTAAAAATAATAATAATAAAGGATCAAAAGACTTTGTGTCTAGGTACATCAAGAAGGTAAAGATAGGGGTCCCTGGGTGGCTCAGTGGTTTAGCGCCTGCCTTCGGCCAAGGGCGTGATCCTGGAGACCCGGGATCGAGTCCCACATCAGGCTCCCTGCATGGAGCCTGCTTCTCCCTCTGCCTGTGTCTCTGCCTCTGTGTGTGTGTGTGTGTGTGTGTGTCTCGTGAATAAATAAAATCTTAAAAAAAAAGAAGGTAAAGATATTTTGAATTAAATCCACTTTTTTGCCCTGATGTCCCCTTCAGAAAGTGGAAGGGGGCATGCAGAATTTCCTGAGGGACCTGAATGTAGGCTCTGTCCACCAAAGGCTGAGGCAATCTCTACTAAGACAACTTAGGGAGGGGGTCGTTGTCTGCTTTTCCAAGGACCTGGGCGAAGGAGGAAGTCCAGGAGTGGGACAGAAAAAGCTATGGAGTGTCTCTTTTGCTTATATGATCACGTCGTGTCCCAGCAGGGTAGGCCGCGGGCCATGACACCCCCTGGGGCTGTGGCAGGTGATCCTGGAGCAGCACCCTGGGTCCTGTCCTGGAGATGCCAGCCGCTCTCCACGGAGAGCCCCTCAGCTCCTTGTCCTATAGCGCCACCCACTGGCGAGTCCTAGTCAGAGGCCTTGGAAGTTCGCGGTCCTTCCGTCCCTGCGTCCCTCCCCCAGCTTGGTTCTTCCCTCTTCATTAATTATTCGTGCCTGCACGAAGCCCCAGGTCAGATTCCGATCTGATTCCACTTTCTTGGGTGTCCAGTTGCATCAGGCTGAGCACTTGTGCTCCCCTGCGTCGACCCCGGCCAGGGGTCCCCCAGCACAACTGGGGTTGCTCTGACTGCCCTTTAATAACCTGGGGTAGAACCCCTGAAGGTTCCAGCCAGGAGGAGCCTTGAGAATCATTTGTTAACCTCCCCCCACCACGTCCACTCCCCTTGTTTCACACATAGAAAACAGATGTCAAAGGAGGCCTGTCGGCACTCAGTAAGCCAGCCCCAGGCCCGTGTCCAGTCCACCACCATGTGTTCCAGAGCCTTCTCCTCAAACCACTTCTCCAAGGTGGGTGGCAATGGGGAGAGCTTAGCTTTCCATCCCAAGTCCTCCTAATCGCCCACCAAGAAGTGCCATGCCAGGATAGCCATTATCAGAGGTATGGCCTTATGTCCCTGGTTTTGCTCATTTCCTTGATGTTTGGCAGTTTACCTCCTTGTTGGGTTTCTTGGCAACATCCCATCAGAGATTTAACCAAACAAAGAGGCCCATGGGCACTGCCTTCATGAGCCACAGGAAAGCAGCTGGACCTTCATCTGGACAGCTTGAAATTCCTTGGGGTACCCCCCACCAGGTGGAAGGGGCCATTTGCACGCTGCTCAGTACTTAGCAGGGGAGGGAGCAAGTGCAGGTGTGGGGTGCTACAGTGGCAAGATGGGGCCTCTGGAAATAGGACCCGTGACAGGGAGGGGCTTAAGAAAACAGCTGGTCCTGCCAGACAAGACAGAGGGTTGCAGAGCCACTTAGCAGCCAAACTAGGACTGGGACAGACCTCATGGATGATAGGTCTGGCTTTCTGTTCGTGCTCAACCCCCACTGACTTCAGTCTACTCCTGGGTTTTTAAACCAGGGCCCAAACCAAACCAGAGCCCAAGCCTCACTCATTCTCTCCTCCCTCTCTCTTTCTCTCTCTCCCTTTCCCTCTTCCTCTCCGTCTCCCTCTCCCTCTGTCTCCCTGCCTCTCTGTCTCTGTCTCTCCCACTGACATAACCAGATAAATGTTTTCTAGGCCAGAAGAACAAAGGTGGGATTCTGGAATCTGACAGTCCTGCAGCATTTTTATCAGTGTTGGTAGCAGTGAGCCAATGGAAATTTCTGCTTCTGCCTGGCAGGGCGTTGCTAGAAGTCTGAAGAGGAAGCCTGTTGGTAGGCCGCAGATTCTAAATCCAGTCCCCAGGGTTGGGCCTAGGATCCAGATGGAGATGGTTTGGCTTTCTGGTTCACCTACCCCATGCCTCAACTAGTGCTGGTTTAGAAATCAGAGATTTAGGGCGAGAGAAGGCACGTGTCCATGGCAGCAAGTGGACCAGCGGCTCAGATGCCCAGGTGGGCCTCATGGAAGCCAGATAGGTCTGTGTCCAATCAAGTACCTTCTCTCACATTTGGCTTTTTGGACCAAAACAGTCTTTTTGCTGCATTTCTTTTTGGGTCTGCTTTGATGCTTGAAATCATCATTAAAAAAAAAAAAAAAAAAAAAACTAGGTTGGCTTTTTACACAGGTTCCTAGAACTGAATGCAGGTACACTTTAAACTTGAATCCACAAATGAGAAATTATCTATGAAAAGGAGTTCATTTTTAAAAAAATATTTTATTTATTTGAGAGAGTGAGAGAGAGCATGAACAGTGTGGGGGTGGGGGGAGGTGGGGGGTGGAGGGAGGGGCAAAAGGGAGAGGGAGAAGCAGACTCTTCCCTGAGCAGGGAGCCTGACAACAATGCAAGGCTTGATCTCAGGACCCTGAGATCATGACCTGAGCTGAAAAGGCAGACACTTCACCAACTTAGCCATCCACGCACCCCTAAAAAGAAGTTTGTTTGTTTGTTTTAAAGATTTTATTTATTCCTGAGAGACAGAGAAAAGCAGAGACATAGACAGAAGGAGAAGCAGGTTCCTAACAGGGAGCCCAATGTGGGACTCGATCCCCAGACCAGGATCATGCCCTGAGCCAAAGGCAGACGCTCAACTGCTGAGCCACCCAGGTGTCCCCTAAAAAGGAGTTTAG